AGAGGGAACACAAGCAGGGGGAGTGGGAGAGGGAGAAGCAGGCTTCCTGCTGAGCGGGAGCCCGATGCGGGGCTGGATCCCAGAACCCTGGGATCAGAACCTGAGCCGAAGGCAGACGCTTAACCGACTGAGCCACTCAGGCACCCCAAATGCCTTTAATAGAAAAACTTATTCAATATTATTTCCCGTTGCAACACTAGCAGTCCGGGGAGTCCTTTCACTTTGTTCCCCTAGAAGGTTTACCTGATTTGAGTTCTTCAGGAGGACAGAGTTTGGTGTGGATTATGGATCAGCAGAAGAAGAGTGAGCAGAACCAGGAGGCATGAGGAGGGGCCGGAGGGGATGAGAATATCCAGCAGGAAGTTTTCCCTCTCTCTCTCAACATTTCCTGTTTCAACATTATGGAATCTGCTTTCTGCGCTAAGATGATTCCTGGGCCACTGTGAAAAGCAGGGGAATGAAACTGGAGGCAGAAGCTGAAGGCTGGGGAACCCCTGGGCAGCAGCCCGATCTACAGGAGGTCATCAAGGCTACTTTGTATTGAGAGTGCCCAGGCGCCAAGCATGATCACCTCATTTTATTCCCTGAACAATCCAATGAAGCAGTAATTGTCAACTCCATTTTACCAGGGACTCAGAAAGTTAAAATAACTCCCCAGAGTCAGATAGCCAGGGAGAGGTAAAGTCAGAATACCAATCCGTGTTTTAGTCTACTGGTTAAACCGATGGCTCACTGAGGTAATGAGATTATCCAAACACCTCAGGCGCAGACCAAACGTTCTTCTAAGGTGATTTGGTCCATGAAGGTATAACTTGGGTTCCATAATTGACTAGTTAAAGGTGAGGAAGTTGAGGAATGGTAGATGTCAAGAAAATGAATAAGAGGCACAGTACTTCTGAAATGATTTTATTCTACCCCTACCGTTCAGCTGAGCATCGTCTTCTTTCCTTATTCTCCTTGAAATCATGATTATTGGTTTAACTGCAGTTCCCAGCTCTTCCACCATTCTTTATCCACAAGACCTCACAGACTTTGTCCTAAATGCAATGCAACTGCCAAACTTTTTCTTTCCCCTGTGGCATTTGAGACAACACTTCTTTTACAGGCCAAATGAAGTCAGGTTGCTAAAAAATGTTGAATTCTTAAAAAAAAAAAAAAAAGTTGAATTCTTTCTTCTTCAAATGTCCTTACAGATAGCAGGCGATGTTGGTTGACTACTCTGCAGCCCCTTTTGTCCTTGCTCAATAAAACCCGGGCTTCGTTCAAGTATTCTCCATCCAAGCGTCTCAGGGGAGGTAGGCCCAGCCTTGGGTGAAATGTGATTGGTTTGAGAAAGGAACAGTTTTATTTTTCTCACCAGGAATTGATTTAGGAATGGACAGGTGATAGAATTCCGGGCAATATGAAATGAGGGATACCTGATGGAGACTTCTGGGAAATTTTTCTTTACTTATTAAAAAAAAGGATGCAAGAAAGGATTGCTTCCTCTTCCGGCCTTTAGACACGGCCCTGTAAAGGTGGCATGTTTGGAGCTGCTGCAACCATTCTGTCAACATGGAGAAATCAACCAGGGGACAAAAGCAAAAATGCTGAGGATGGCAGAGCAGAAAGACTGAAGGAATCTAGATTTTTTAAAAAAAGATTTTGAGAGAGTGAGCAAGAGAGAGCACAAGTGGGGGAAGGGAGGATGCAGAGGGAGAGGGAGAAGTAGCCTCCCCACTGAGCAGGGAGCCCCATGCGGGCTTGATCCCAGGACCCTGGGATCATGACCTGAGCGGAAGGCAGTCACTTAACTGAGCCACCCAGCCACGCCAGGAATCTAGATTCTTGATGACTTCAATGAGCTGCTGGAATAACCAAGCCTGAGCCTAAACCTGGTCTTCCTGTTACACAAAATAAATACATTTATTGTTTAAGCAACTTGAGTTGAACTTTTTTGTTACTCAAATGTAAATGAAGCATCTTAAGTGATAAACTAAAGCAGGAGAAATAGAACCATGGGATGAGGAAATGGGTCACTTTAGGTATGAGCCACCAGAAGTGGGAATGTGCTACTTTATATGTTCACACATAATTATAAAAAGCTGTTCAGGCAATACTACAAAAATAGGTTACTTCTATTCTTTAAATTAGGACCTGCAAAAACCTCCAATTAGAGCAAGAGGCAAAACAAATTTGAGAAAAAGAATTTTGTCAATTTTTTCTAAATACTAAAATTTTCACACACTCTATTAAAGGATATAAGTTCTAACAACTCCTTCTGGCTAAACATGCAGGTATCTTCTTAATAATCCTCTGCCTCTCAGGCTAACCATTTCTTGTTTTAGGAGAGACCTATTCCAGAAGGTCTGTATGGGTCTAGAGTTACCCAACTCTCACCCTATAGGATGATGACGTTCATTTCCCAGGAAATGACTTTTCATTTCCCAGATAACGCAAAGGATACTGTAAACTGTACAAGTGTCCACCACAGAGATGTCCGTTTTGCTCAGACCTGTGAGCACTTTCTCATAAAGGTGCATCTCACTGGTCCTCAGCTCCAGGAATAAATGTTCAATACATGCACGTTGAAAGATAATTAAAAGTGGAACTCCCCCTTTTTTTCTAAAGCAAAACTCCCAAAGGATTACTTGTTACTGGGAAGAACATCATACTACAGTTGTAGGAAAATCTGCAAGTTTGAACTTGTTTTTTATTCCTTGCCAGATGGACTGTTTGTTAGTAGCTTACGGTGAAATTTCGGCCTGTGAGAGATATAACTGCTTCTTGCTGTGAGATTTATGACAAGGTTGATGTGAGATTTATGACAATTATGATCAGCTGGATGTAGGAATGTCTGTTGTTGCCTCAACCTGCTTCTCTGGGCTAATAACCGCCTTCTGAGTTGCCTTCCTGCCTGTAGATGAGCACACTCCAGGTGGGAAGGAAACAAAATATTCAGGAACTAGTCCTTAATCTATTGAAATCATTGATTTTCAGATTTCCCTAAATCATGGCTAAGCCCAGGTATGGTTTCTGAGTAGTCCAGGCCTCCGGAGATGAGCTGGACTAGCCTGCCGAGCAGATAAATGCCTCTTGTCCTCCTGCCTCTGGCCCAGATCACAGTTGCCTACAACAGAAGCATAGTTTCAAGAGCCATCGAAGAGAAAAGGGTGTATTGATTCAAACAAAAATCTCCCATTCTTGGGAGATTTCACAATGCACATTACATGTTAGGGACTCTGAGAAGTCTTGCAATCAGTCTTTGTATAACTCAGCCCTTCTCAAACTTATTTGATTTGGGGATATTTCTTTTCATATAACACTTATAAATACCTCCCAAAAGACTTGTTTCCTGAGGTACAGACATTCAGAATCAGTTGACTGGGCCATATTTGTTTTCCCCGTTTTTACCTGGCCTTCTAAGGGATGGGTATGTGTGTGTGTGTGTGTGTGTGTGTGTGTGTGTAAAATGGGTAACTGGGGGGAAGGGGTTAGGGCATTTAACTGAACCAACCATATCTGAAAAGAGGAAAAAGTATATCCTTCATGAGGAGACTGTGAGGAGTGCTCAATATATGTTCACTATTGTTCAGTCAAAGCTAGTCTCACAAGTCTCTACCTATTGGTATTGGTCTGTCTTCTACTCAGAAAAAGACTGTCATCTTTTATACAAAGGTCCTTCAGATGTTTAAAGACAGGCAACATGGCACCTTTCTTCCAGGCTAACTATTGCTGGATTCTTTACGTGTGTCTCCCAGACTATGGCTTCAGAATGCTTTTCCTTCCACTCATACTTTAAACAGCTCTTTTACCAACATACAGCATTTTGATTTCTCTTTCCTGATTATGTCATAAAAAGAGAGTTTTCCTTTCTTTTACGGTCCTTAAAAGGTTGAAGTTTATTTCCTAAGAGATGAAACTGTCAGTACCGCTATAAACTAAAACATTAAATCTAAAGCAGGATTTTATTTTGAAAAGTTTGTTTCCTTTTTTATTTTCTCTTCCACAACAAATACTTTAGTGTAACAGTTACCGACTCTTAAAATGAGCGAATTACAGGGTTACGCTGAGCATCAGCTGAAAGAATGACTGCAAATTTTCTCCTCTATCCCTTTGATAAGAACTGCGTCTTTTCTGATGCAAGACAATACTTTAAGGAGGACTTGACCAGATGTCCTCTAAATTCCCCCCTAATCCTCACATCCCGTGATTCGAGGCTTCTGCAATTTTGTTGAAAGTACAAACATACTGAAGTAGTCCTCATTCCAAAGCATAATAAGTTCATGACACATTTTAGAGGAAATTTCATTTATAACTATAGTACAAATAAATTATATGTATATAAAGATATATTTAAATGTATTTATTTCCTATTTCCTTTTTTTATTCTAAGAAATTGCTTCTTCAGAGGGTGATTAAATTCATTTTAAAGTGGTTTATCTACTCATGCTGCTTATTTTCCCATTTGACATGTTAATCCCCTATCTTGCCAGATAACCCTTTGGTTATTTCCATCACATATAAACAAATGTTTCCAGTGACAGAAAGCCAGGGCAGCACCCTCCCATATGCCACAACACCATTAAGAATTCTTGACAAGGACGCAGCCCTTTGGAGCTCTTAGCCCAAATACACAAAAAGGCCACGCTCAGCTTGTCAATTGCCCTGATGACATGGGCAAGGTTGGGACACATATTTTTTAAAAAAAGGGCTTTTTGTGTGGACCTGTGATCAAAAACTGATATTCAACACACAAGGACCTCCTCCCTCAGAGGTCTCCACAGATAGTAAAGTAGTGAGGTTTTTGGTAAGCAGAGTGAACAAAGCAGGACATGGGGATCAAACACTATCTTATCAGGGTCACAGACCAACTCAATTCACTAAAATCTACCACATTTGTATGTCTCTCCATGGTTATATGCTTTAGTCATTAGCTAATTCCAGTTTTCTTACAGGAAGTGTTTCTTGGTAAAGAATTTAGGGCTTTAAGTAGGGAAGAAATAGAAACATTTATTAAACCCTTAGCAACCGAAATTTAATCATATCACATATACCACGATACACAAATAAATCAGATATACACAGATAGCAATGCAGGCAACATTATTTTGCCCTCTTTTTGTGTTTAAGAAATGCCTTAAAAAAACAGAAGCTTCTTGAACATCCATCAGTTACCTGGAGGAATAAAAATGTTCCAAATGCAATTCATCAAAACTCTAGAAAAAGATGATTTCTCTCTTCAGTATTTAAAAATTGGTATCTAACTAATTTCATTTTGAACTAGGTTAGTAATCTAAGTCTTCTCCAACAAGCTCTTAAAACTCAAAGAATTTTATCTTCTAAATATAATAAAGACTTAAGTACACATTCAAATTGAAAATGGGAATTTATTTTTCTATTACACTTTTCTGGCGAAAAGGAGCTGACGGATTTTTTCCTTCTTATTTTCTTATAGCAAACATTGTCAGATTTTTTTTTAAAAAAAGCAAAATATAACAGAATTGTAGTTGAGAAGACTAATTTTATGTAAATGGTATTAATCACAGCTCAGTTAAAAGAACACTTGATACAGATTAGCTTCAGCAGATGATGTCAACTTTTCAATATTAGTATTTCTCATATAATTTCTGGGTGGCCTTGACATATTTTTCCTCAATGTAATGTCTTCATTTTTTTTTGCTCTAGAATTTCCTTGACTTAAAATAATGACTTGAGGAAGATCACATGAGATTGAAAGGCTCTGCGCTATTTTTTAAATGTTGGGCAAAGTTCGGCTGATTGATATGTAATTCATTAAAATGAGCTGTATTTTCAGTGCCCTGGGCTCACACAACAGTTTGAGAGGTTCTGGTTCCTTTTGTAGCTGAGGAGCGTAGAGTCCATTTTTCTAACAGCCCACAGAAGTTGCTGAAAAAGTCCAGGCAACAGATCACACTGAATCCTACTATTCAGAAGAGATTTGCATTTCATGGTATTGTCACAGGGTAGGTATTTCCTTGAGCAAGACTCATGTTTACCCAGTGTTAGAGGGAACATTGAATTTCATAACCATAGTCGCCTTTGTCTGTGAAAAAATTTTTAAATTTGCTGTGATTGCTTCATTTCAATTTCATTTTCTTAGAGTCACGCATGCTCTGTGATCTAAGTTTCTTAAGTTCATTTCAAATCGGAAAAAAAAATTCAAGAGGATAGAAACAAGCACAAAGTAAACAAACGTATAATTTTGCCATTAAATTTTCTCCTGGATAACTCTGCAAATATTTCTTGTCGTTTCCATTCTGTTTCAACACTGCAGAACAATACAATCATGGCTCAAAGGCGAAGCAATGTGCATATGAGTGACAAAACATGGAAACCAGAAAAGGAATATAAACGTAAATAAAACTTTTAAAATCCTAGTAATACAACCACCTTCTTCCTTAGTTGTTGTTAATGTTCATTCCACATGAATTCACATTTTGGTTCCGGAAGGCCCTGCACCATAAGCCCAGATCACAAGGACCACAATCTGTGGAGCGTAAAAGCGAGCCTGTTGCCAGTATCTACTGGTAGCAAACTTGCAGAAGTTTTTTAGAAGACTAATAAAATTATATTCTGCTTATTTGTTTTCTGGATTCTGGGGACCTTGGAAATAGAAAAGGCTAAGAAACAGGGCATGCTTTTGTGAGGTTTCTTGGGCGGGGAAGTAGAAAAATAGGTGTTTTCCTTTGGGGCTTTTTTGTGGCTGAGAATGGTGAAGTTGAGATTTCTGAGAGCACGATTTTTCATTTTCCTCAGTCTTTAAGGGAGTGGTAGGCTTTGGCAGTCCGGCTGTTGACAAAATCTGTCTTCTTAAACTGAGCCTTTGGAGTAAGCAAACAGAAATGTGAAAGGTAACAACATTTTCACAAGAGAAAATGGAGTTTGGAGTGATGTCTCGCCAGGGGCAGACAAGCGGGACATTACGATCTGGCTGTTAACTGCAACCCATACCCTTTCAGTGTTCTTACCTTCTTGTAGGCATTATGCAGCTCCGTGTGTGTCCACAGAGAATAGAGGAGAACAGAAGCAGCTTTACTTGCTTTGTTGGAGGCATAGCTGAAAAGAGGAAAAAGGCATTCCGAGATCAGTGAGAACGTGTCAGGCTTCTGGATGCTGTCTTTGGACGTTCCGTAAATCTTCTTTAACTGCTGTTGTTCGGTGGCCATCCACTAAGTCAGGCCACTCACAGTGACAAAATGGTGAGCCTTGAAGGCCAGGGGCCACAATGGGTTTAAAAAAAAAAAATTATTAAAAAAAAATCTTTTAAAACCACTAGCACAGGGCACCTGGGTGGCTCAGTCGTTAAGCATCTGCCTTCGGCTCAGGTCATGATCCCAGGGTCCTGGGATCGAGCCCCGCATCGGGCTCCCTGCTCGGCGGGAAGCCTGCTTCTCCCTCTCCCACTCCCCCTGCTTGTGTTCCTTCTCTCGCTTTGTCTCTGTCAAATAAATAAATAAAATCTTTAAAAAATAAATAAATAAATAAATAAATAAACAAATAAAACCACTAGCACAGGCCAACAAATAATTTATAGAGCATATTCCTGGTATTTATAAGGAATATATCCTTAGATTTCATAGATCCTTGATTTATAGAATACAATTTGTATATTTATATACACTATTTACATTTATTTTATATTACATTAATAAATAAAATTAAATATATATATACACTATAGAAATGTATTTGTACATCTATAACGCATATATGTAGAATACAAATTCAGGAAAGCATGACTGAAAAATATATCTACCTCCTAGACTTAGTGACTCTACGAGTGTAAGAGTAATATTTTCAAGGTAATATAATAAATTCTTGTTGAAATATTTGTTAAAATAGCTTCAAAATTTCTTTGTTTTTGTATAAAGTGAATGGAAAATGCACTCCTGTTATAAATCCAAGTCACTACAGAATTGGACACTGTATTTAGTTTTTTTCTTCAATTTTTTAAAAAGATTTTATTTATTTATTTGAGAGAGAGTGAGAGAGAGCGGAGTAGGGGCAGAGGGAGAAGGAGACTCCCCGTGGAGCAGGGAGGCTGACATGGGGCTGGAACCCAGGACCCTGGGATCATGACCTGAGCCGAAGGCAGACTCTTAACCAACTGAGCCACCCAGGCACCCCTCTTCTTTATTTTTTAAGTAATCTCTACACCCAACGTGGGGTTCAAACTCACAACCCTGAGATCAAAAGTCACATGTTCCACCCACTGAGCCAGTCACGTGCCCCGACACTATACTTAGTTTTTGATGTTTTGCTTTCAAATTTGTCCTAAAACAAGGTGAGTGGGGGGGATGAGGTAACTGGGTGATGGGCATTAAGGAGGGCACTGAAGTAATGAGCCCTGGGTGTTGTATGCAACTGATGAATCACTAAATTCTACCCCTGAAACTAATAATACATTATATGTTAATTAAATTGAATTTAAATAAAAAACAAAACAAAAAGTTTGTCCTTTTAATACTCACTCTGAATATGGTCTTCCTTCCCCATGAGGTCTGCCAGAGTGGGGCTGCAGAGCACAAGGGCCTGCCTGAATGGGGCTGTGGGGAAAGAGATGTGTGTTTACTCCAGGACACCACAGACCGCTGTGCTTTCCCGTGGGGCCAGGCACACATCTGTCTACCAGGGGTAAAGTCTGTTTGCTTTACAACTGATTAGAATTGGGGTATAACATTTCATCTCTTTCTTAGTTGTTTACAAAAGTAACTTGTATTTAACAAGTCAAACAATTCAGAATTGTATAAAGAGAAAAAGATGCCCTCTTTGGATTCCATGCCTCTAAATTAACTAATAGTAATAATTTCGTTACACAAGGTTTTTCATTCTCTTTATCACCTTTTTTTTTTTTTAAGTGGGGAAAAATTAAAGACACAGAAATAGGGATGTAGAATGATTTCTATACATTAGGCCTTCTATTCTCAAAAGGGAATAAGAGATGGAAGAGATGTGATAGAGAAAACCAAGAAAGCAAGAATTTCTGATTATGTTGCCTCCTACTTCTTGTATTATCCCTGCTTCTTCTAAGCCACCTGGGGCGACACTGACTCCAGATCTAAGTGAGGAAAGGGGCAGTCCCTGTCCCTAGGACTCCCACTTTGCCTACGTTTTGCTGGTTTTAAATCACAGCTGTGGCTCTGGGAAATAAATTAATTCATTAGGTTGATAAAAGGCTGGAGTGTACTACCCAGGGAAACTATTGAGTTTGACTATCTGGATATTTTAGAAGTGAATGGGCAACGATTTGGCTTGGAGAATTCAGTTTTTCATTTGCTTGATTATCAAGGATTGAACCAGAAGATCTGGCCCAACTTTACAATCTCGTTTTTTGGGCATAATACCCATGGTACTCAATGTGTGTTGAAATTTACATATGGGAGTGGTGGTGAGGAATGAGGAGACAGCCAACAGGCAGATACTATAGGACTTACACATCGCCTGAGCTGATGGTCATGATTTTCTGCAGGCCTCCAGTGTTTAGAAGATCCCGTGCATTCTGGTAACTATTTTGGATCATATTGTTCAGAGTGTAGCAGGCAGAGGCTGTAGTCTCAATAAGAAGATCAGTACTCGGGACTGTGTCAGGAATTATGGAAACCAAATCCGGTAGAGTTTCTTTGGCTATAAAATGAAAAAAATCAACACTTGATTAGAAGGACTGTCCCTTAATCTCAAGATCCCAATACATTTTGGGTAAAGAACATTTTTTTTTAAAGATTTTATTTATTTATTTATTTGACAGAGAGAGACAGCGAGCGAGAGAGAGAACACAAGCAGGGGGAGTGGGAGAGGGAGAAGCAGGCTTCCC